CGTGCATCTTCCAGGCTTTGAGCACTTTGACACGAGAAACGTTGCCGTACCGACGAGTTGTAGTTATTGTCGCCCAGGGCTAAGAATGTCAAGACTCACTGAAGCTTGACTTACTTGAATTGTCTGCCTTTTAATTAGCACTAGTTTAATTTTCTAACTGGGTTTCTTCCTACAGACGTTGTTACTTTTGAAACGAGGCCGGGGCTCGCTCGGTAGGCAAACCATGACAACCTCTTGAAATTCGGATTGGCTACATTAGAAAAGAATATATGTGGGTTTCGAGGAGTCTCTTGTTTCATAATTGTTGAGCTTACTTCCATTTCAAATGAAAGTGTTTGGTGAAGAGATTCGAAGGTCGGTTCCACCATATGACGACGGTGGATTCCTTTTGACCAGCTGTCGATTGGCTTTACTGGAACATTCATGCTGACGCTGTATCCGAGGCAATCTCCTTCGATTTCGGTGAAAAGGTGCTAAGCTTTCATCCGTCATTTGACGAACATCATCATAGCAAGGTATCATCGAAAACTCGTTAGCTTGAATTTTGTTGTGACGATGATACCTTGCTCTGATGATGTTCGTCAAATGACGGATGAAAGCTTACCATCATCATAGCATCGAGGGTATCATCGTCACAACGAAATTGAAGCTAACGAGTCAAGAAAACTCACCAGCAAATCCCTAAAAAGTGGTAAATATACTCTACATCTGGCCTCTTAGATTAAGTCAACTTTGATGCATGTGAGTGTGTCTGTCTCTTTATTTGTTGACATATGACCTTAACTAACCAAATCACTTTATACTTCATCAAAAAGTCCAGATGTAGAAAATATATACCACTTTTTGGGGATTTGCCGGTGAATTTTCTCGACTCGCTTACTTGAATTCTGTTGTGACGATGATACCTCGTTCTGATGATATTCGTCAACTGACGGACGAATGCTTAGCATCTTTTTACTGGAATCGAAGGAGATTGCCTCGGAAACAGCCTCAGCATAAATGTTCCAGTAAAACCAATCGACAGCTGGTCAAGAGGAATCAGCCGTCGTCTTCTGGTGGAACCGACCTTCGAATGTCTTCACCAAATACTTTTAATCGAAATGGAAGTAAGCTCAATAATAGAGAAGAAGACTCCTCCGCTCGACCCGTTGGTATCTAATCGCATCGGAGCCTTGGATGTAGGCTGGGGGCGCCTCCGTCTGGACGCGGGCTTCTCTCCACTTGTCGCCTGGGGTACCTTTTTGGTTTGGCCGACTCGTGACGTGGAAGAGGCTGAAGCAAGTTGAGGACGCTCATCGACTCGGTGGCTGGATGGCGGCGAAGGCCTCTCCGTGAAGGTGAAGCGAAACTGACCCGCGAAGGCTTCCTCAACAGGTTTATGTTGTTGGCTTCATCTGAAAAGGTGCGACGACGATGCGACATGTGTGACTGTCGACTGATGCGAAGACCTCCTCGACATACTGTCCGGCGATCCCGATTCGGCAATGCTGAACTTTCGTGCGTCCCGCTTTTTGCAGACACTTTCAGACCCGGAAACTATCATATACGAAAGTTAATTAAAAATTGGTTTAACCTCATTCTTGAAACTTGGCCGCAGATGAACATGCCTCCTCCATATTCATGCCAATTTTTAGCGTAGGGCCATGGACTTGGAGCATCTCCAGACGTTTGGCGGTGTTCACTCAATTTCGTTTAAGGTAATCAAGGACTGGCAGTTGATTTTTCCCACAATGATATGAGTAGAGCTGCTATTTTGCAGTTAATTTCATATAGCCTTGCTTTCCCAAAAGTTGTTTTCATCCAGGCTGAAATGGATTGCAGCTTTGACCTCGCATAGGTCTTATCAACATCCCAAGCGGGAGTCGAATCGTGACAGTTCAGCGTGTAGGCTCGACATGTTAGCCACTAGGCCACACTGCCACGAGTGCCCTTGAGTCACAGGGCAGATGTGAATTTCAAGGAATGTCAGGCATTTTCCCATATCACATTCTGTGTTGGGATTGTCGACGAAGCAAACTTCTATTTGCAATAGCAATCGACGATACTACTTTTATCCTAAATGAGTAGGTTTTCGAAACTACCAGTAAATCAGATATATGAGTTGTGTTCATCCTGTTTCGTTTAAGGTAGTTGAATTTTGCCCCAATGATTTGAGTAGAGTTGATATTTTCCATTGAATTTCACATCAGCTCTACTCATATCATTGTGGGAAAAATAAATTGCCAGTCCTTCATCACCGGCGAGGCCATATTACGAATTCCTTCCAACCAACTTTTCCTTCGAAATGGGTAGTCATGCCACTTCTTTACTTATCCTCTCTTCCCCTCTCATCTGTCCCTCCAT